ACCCCCACCCACCCACCCACCCACCCCCACCCCCATTGAAACACTCACCTGCTGATGACCATGGCACATATAATAGGAGTCCAGCCAGTGTAGACCACTTCATGAGTATACTTGTTCCTGTAGGCCACCACCAGCCACACTGGAGTGACCACCAGACACAGACTGACCACCAAAGGGGACAGCCACACCTGCTGACCTGAGGAATAACACTCGGCTATTGACTCAGCAATTCATTTATCTGTTTATCTGCACATTAATTTGATATTAATATCAAAACTTGATTATGACCTAGGTTAACAAGAATTTTTATGCACATGTATTATTACAATGTATGAAAAAGACAAAACTGTAAAGTCACAGTTTGAGCTTATGTGTAACATATTAACTTTACCCTAATGTAAAATGTTGCAAACAACCTTTTGGCAAAAGCAACATGCTTGTATATAGTACTGAAAAGGCCCTGACTACAAGAATCATAATTTATAGAAATTTCATGTACAAACGCAAAAAGGGAGTCACGACCATAAACAGAACAACAATAAAACTTCTAGTGGCTTTCAACAACACCATACTAGTTAACAGAAGCCAGGAAAGAGAGGATGGTCAATTCCTTCAAATTGACAGCTATGAGTATGACCATGCCGTCACTTACCAATGGCTTTAAACAGCACCATACTAATAGAAGCCAGGAAAGTCAGGGTGGTCAAGTCCCCTAGACTGGCAGCTATGGGTGTGGCCACATTGTCTGGGTTAATCCCACATTTTCTAGACAGCATTACTACACCTATCATTACTATTCCTAAAAAGAAAGCAAATGAAACAAAAATTAAACGACAGGGACATAAGTATGAACTAAGAGTAATAACTTTTAAAGGTATACACATTGTTTTTAAAATCTTTAAACAAGATATGAAATGCACTGTATTTCGTCTTTGAAGAAACAAGACCGAGAGTATGGCAAAATGATCCATGACATTTTTTTCAAAGTACTAAAATACAGCACCACATAATCAAATGAAATCACTCAATTTAGAGAATAAAAGGTAATGAATTCAATGTCACTGAGCATTGTTAAAGGTAGTCTCTTTTATTTTAAGTCATATTCAATAAGTTTCATAGTACAAATTTACCATTAAACACCAATATTCTTATTCATCAAAGCTATTCATTTTCACCCAATTCTGGAAACAAACGCACCTTCAAGACAGAGGATCAAAGAAGGGTCTCTACCTACTGGGTATGTACCACCAGCCAGGTGTGACCCATCAAAGAGGCAACAACACAAAGATATGGTGGAAAACAGTTCTACTGTAACAATAATATTATAGTCTGAACTAGGCTAAACCATAAACCAACCTAAGACTAGACTAGCCAAGGATGCTGTCAAGGCACTGCTGGCAGACAATAACAGGGCATGGGACAGACTAAACTTGCCCTCAGGTATCCATCCCATCACCATAGCAGCTATGGCAGCAAGAAACCCAACAATGATTGCCTGAGCCTGGAAGTAGAAATGGGACCATATGATAGTAAACTAACAAATAATAATACCAATATTTTGATAGCAATGCATGTAGTAGTTGCAAACTGTATGCATTTTAAAATAGTAATTGTGATAGGTGGAACAGACACGAAAATTCCATGAGTTTTATAATTTATTATAAGAAGTACAACATATTCATCATTCCCGTAATCTATGTGAGCAAACTTTTGCAAAATCACTGAACACAGACTACCACATGGCAGTCATGAATCCTAAAAATCAAACAAATATACATGAAGAATTCAGAGCTACAGTTCAATTCTTAATGCAAACAAGTCTTTAAGTGGGGCAAAACAGTATTTGACATGTCCGGCAACCTTTTGTGAAATATAATTGTTCTGATATCAACCTGTGTCAGTGCTAAATTCCCTCCTATCATTTTCCACTGCTCTGATGCTTTGTCCATGTTCCCCAGATTGGCCTAAAATAGAGAACAACAACCTGTTGAAATTCACAATTCTATTAACTGCTTAGAAAATAGCAATAAAACCAGTCACTGTTACAGTTTACATTCACAGATATAAAAATGTAATTACTGGCAAAACAGAACAAATTATCATTGCAATTAGTATGCATCTTTTCTCTGTACAGGATGCACTCATACTGAAAAATGTATGTTTTAAGCAAAGAATATCAGTGAAAATATATTTGTTAAAAGATATTTGTAAAAAAAATAAAATTTCTTCATAAAAATGTTGGTATGTTAGAAAGTTGAAATTCTAATTTTTTTATTGCCACATCCAGCAGTTTAACCCACTGAACTTTTACACATGGAAAAACTGTCAGATCTTTTAATTCACGGACTGACAATATGCCTCCAGGACTGGCAGCAATCAAAATCAACTCAGCTTGGCTGTCTGTCATGAAATCAAAACATTTAACAAGTAAATTATTAATTCAAAATTTCTCTCAAACAAATGACTCATTTGAACTGTCTATGTTTTGAACTTTGTCTCAAATAACTGGCAAAACCTCCACAGCTGTCACCACATCTGTGATCAGTTTTACAAAGGAAAAGTTGGTCTTGAATTTAAGACACAAGATTTAGACTATAATTTCAATTCATGATAAATGTAAAATGAGTCCTCTAAAATACAATCATATGTATTGACCTCACACATTAGCTATCTCTTTCCATGTATAATAAAACAAGCACAATTATGATACTTCATTCAAGGGGACTACTGCTGATTTATCCTATGTCAAAATGGACTAAAAATTCTATTCCTAAAGTTAAGACCAACTTCGAGTCTACAACTGATTTATCTTTGATCAAAGAAGACTAAGGCTGCGTTCACATGAAAAATCTATTTTCTAAAAATCTAAAAATCTATTTGCGGTATCTTGTGATCATGGTCTGTGCCCTGAATACCCCTCGGCGTAATTACGGGCAGCGCGACCCAGTTACTTCCAAAGCTGTAATTAATTCTCAACGCTGCCAGTAATAGAGGTTGTCCGGGTTCTCAACGAGAAGACCATATTTCTCCGTGATTTTACGAGATCTGCCTTGAGGTGGGGTTAAAATATGGAGACCACAAGGAAGTAGAGCAGCAATTTCTTTACTTGAAAAATAGCTGAACTTACAAAATTTTTGAGCTACAGGCTTGTTCTTTTTTCACTTTATAAAGAAAAAGTATTGATATAATATGTACGTACAACTGACATGTTGAATTTGCCAAGCTAAGAGCCGATGACGCTTGCAAAGCAAAATTCGCCCGGAGAACGTACTACGCAGCAAAGGTCGCGTTTAAACAGGCTACATCACCAGAGATTTGCTTGTGGTACAGGAAAATGACATTAGTTATACGCATGCCTTTTAGATGAAAGTGGCTAGGATTGAATGAGAATCAGACGGATGATGCCCCAGCAGCTTCCAATTATTGTTTTATTATTTATATGTAAATAAAATAATCCAGTGCTGTCAAGGGCTTAATTGCTTCAATTTTAGGTTATCATAATTACTATATTTAAATTGTTAACTCCAGCGTATTGCAATATGAAATTTCCTTCTTCTGTTTTTTTTTTTTTTTTTTTTT